TGGAGAAAAGGACCCTGGTGAGTAGATCACCTGTCCTGAGGCCTCCTGCCCTACCTGTCCACTCTGGGAACTGTGGAGAAGGCCTGGCCGAGAGGTAGAAGGACTGTCTGCCTTGCTCTGGCCCCATATCTTGGCCACTGGCAAGAGTTAAACAAGCTATGTCTTGTCCCTAAGTGGAGATTTTCTGGGGGCTTGGGTCAGGGGTTTCAGTCACCCTTGACAATTACTGAACTCTACAGATTGCTGAGTCTTTCTGTGGCCAGGCCCAAGCTGGTGCCAGAGTACACAAATGAGCCAGGATCTTCCCTGTTCCAGAGGAGTCTCCATTCTGGGGAGGTTGACTGCAACAAAGCCCTGTCAGGAACTCTAAGGGCTTGTTCGAGGCGAATGAGTGAGTCAGAAGGCCCTGTAGGGGAAGGATGAGAGTGGAGCCTGCATTTTGAGGGTGAGACTACTCCTTTTCTGCCAAAATGAGGGAGACAGTTATTCTTTTACTTTTTTTTTTTTTGTATCAGGAGTTGAACCCAGGGGTGCTTTACCACTAAGCCACATCCCAGCCCCTTTTATTTTTTTTTATTTTGAGATGGGGTCTTGCTAAGTTGCTGAAGCTGGCTTTGAATTTGCAGTCCTCCTCCCTCAGCCTCCTGAGCCACTGGGATTGCAGGTGTGAGCCACTTCACCCAGCAGGAGCCCATTACTCTTTCCTCACGCTTAGAAGAATTTCTCCTCTGACCTAAGGTCCTACATGAGCTGGTGCCCCTCTGCCTACTTGACTTTTACTCCTTTCCTCCTGGATCAAGAAGCTCAAGTCACTTGCCTTATTGCTGTTCTTTACACCTTGTTTCTATCTCAGGACCTTTGCACTTGCTGTATCTTTGCCAGAAAGGCTCTTACCTCCACACTTCACTTGGGCTGTTACTCAAAACTCAGCTTCCCTGACAGGCCTTTCCTGACCACTCAGTCTAAAATGACATCATCTTATAACCCACACCTACCTGCTTTATTTTCCTTCTTAGCTCTTAAGTATACTTTCTCGTCTACTGTATCTTTTCCTCTGCTAGAAGATCAGTGCCACAAGAACAGGAACTTTGTCTTGTTCCTGGCAGAACCCCAGTGTCCAGCACAATGCACAGAGTATGTGCTCAGTGATGTCTGCCAAATAACTAGAGCCAGATCCCCTGTCATCCCATTTGCCCAATATAATGGTGGAGGAGGATGTCTGCTGTACCAAACAGGCTTGAGGGAACTCACCTTCTGGGGATTTGCACCTATCAGTGCTGTGTGGGGCCCTTGGTAAACCAGCCTACCTCCTAGCTGAGCCCCGAAGCAGCCAGACCACAAAACTGTCATCCCATGCTGTGCTCCCATCTCCCCCCCTTACTCCACTTCATCCTTACCCCCCCTCCCCACATCATGTCTGCTCACTGCCTACAGGCTGCTGCCCTTCCCCTCCTTCACCCCCAACATCCCCATCACTGGTCCCTGCTACCTGGCTGCAGCCACAAAGGAGGGAGGACCACAGACTGTGAAATAGGACACACCCAATTTAGGGTCTAGGCTGTGTGGCTGTGGGGAAATCACATTACTCTTTTTATATCTTGAGTTTCCTCATCGGCAAAATAAGGTTTTTGTGGAAATGAGGAGCCGCTACACGTGTGATGATGACACTAATAATAGCTCTATTATTGAGCACCTGCCAGGTGTTTGGCATTGTGTGAGGTGCTTTGAACTTTTTTTTGTGCATTAAAAAAAATGGAGGAAAAAAGCAAGCATGAAGTGTCCCCAGAGTGTCAGGCCTGGTGCTCGGTGCTCTGAATTATAAAAGGTGACTATAACCCATTTGTGCAGAGCTTACTATTCCAATGTGTGCACACACACATACATACCTGAGGTAGCATACCAGTCACACTGTGGGGGGCCTATGGTGCTTTTCAGCAGAAGCCCCAAGAGACGGTTTTGCAGCCATTGAGGCAGCAACTCTCAGAGACAAGGGACCAGCCCCAGCCATCCCTAATTCCCCTTTATCAACCCAGTGGGAACTTTCATTGTTCATGTCTGGATTGCAGAGCCCAGCATGGGGTCTGGCCTAGAATTGGACTCGGGAAATGTTCACTGAATGAATGAATGAATGAATGAACAAATGAACAAAGGAATATATTTAGACAGATGTCTCCGTTGTATTTACTTATTTGCTTAAGTTACCTTCTCCCCTCCCCCCATCTTCACATCTTACATATAGCATTTGTGGCTGATAATCATAATATTATTTCTACCACTCACTTGCCCCCTTCTTTGTATTAGATCCTCTGCTAAGTTACGTACAAGCATAGTCCTGTCGACTCCTCACACTTTCACTAAGAGCCAGGAATTATTAGTATTTTCATGTTTGAGCAAACTAGGGCTCAGAGAAGTGAAGAGACTTGCCCAGGGTTGCAAAGCAAGGGGGCAGTGGACCTCATTTTTAACCCCCATGATCTTCTGCCCTGCAGAGGTACACACTCTCTTGGCAGTCTGTATGCTCACTTGCTCTTGCAGTTTTCCCTCCCAGCAATGGAATGGCCCAAGCCAGGAACCAGGGGAGAGGAGCCTCAGCGTCTGGTCCAGGCTCTACCATACCAGCTGAATAACTTTGGGAAAATCCCTTCCCTCTCTTTGGGTCTCAGCTTTCCCTCCAGCTGTTCCTCTTGTCTGTAAGCCCTTAACCAGCTTCCTAAAGAGGGGAGGGGCTGGAATTTGGCTTGGTCCTAGTCTGCCTACTTATTGAGAGTGAAACCACAGGAGCAAACTCTTCTCCATTCAGCAGACTTCACTTTCATTCACATTCTTGAAGGCACTGAACTCTGCTGGGTTTGGTTATAAGAAGGGATGTAAGACAAACCTGGCTAGGAAAGGGGAGAAGAGAAGCATCATTCATTGTGGGTCCCCTGAGCTCTGGCTGCAGTCCAGCCAATGCAGTTATTCATTAGCTCCACTTCTTGCAATTACAGACAAATGGTGTGATGCACATTCATTGTAGAAAAATAGAAAATACAGATATTCAAAGAGAAAAAAATAATAGTCTACTTAAGTAAAAAGAAAAATGTGACTTCTTGATCTCTTTCCTACCTAGCTTTTTCTCAAGTGGAAGACTGCCTTTGAGTTTATCCAAAAAACTCACTAAAATTCACATGCCAATGATCCAAATTCAGCTTTCTGTTCTGAACCTTTTTGTTGTTTGTTTTGACAGGGGTGTGTGTGTTTTCATAAAATGGGATTATATCCTACATACTTGTGTATAACTTGCCTTTTTATCCTTTTTAACAATGGATTATGTACAGCACTTGTCAATGAATTTATTTCAAGCATATTTACCACGACTCCACAGTGCCCCTTTGTGTGGCTGCTGTATGACCATTTATTGTGATGGTCCCCAGTCATAGGACATCTGGTTGTTTCCCAGCTTTCCCTGTTGTAATTATTCCTAGTTAACAGATGAGGATTTTGAGGCTTAGACAGGCAGACTCTCACATCTGTGAGAAGTGAAGGCATAGAGGGGGCAGCTGGGAGTGGATTGGGTGCTGGGGACGTTCCCAGTCTCAGCGAGGGACGGCGGATCCTTGAGAAGAGAGAGAAGCCTGGGTAGAGGAAGTCCCCAGATGGAAGGCCTATGACCTGTCAGAGGGAAGACAGGGGCATTTGAGGAGGAGACCACTCTCTAGCCCCCAGACCCAGGCACAGCCAGGATCTGGGCCACGCCCCATCAGGCTCCCCACCCCTCCGCTGCCTCGCTCCTGAGCCCACTTGCCGCCTGCTCCAATCTCGCCAGCTTATCAATAGGTTAAGTGGTCAGGTCAGCGATATTGACCATTTGATTAGGACCTTGTCAGATCAATCCCCAGCTCATCTCATGGGCCTCCTCCCTGCCCACACACTCCCTCCTGCTCTTCCATGCCAGGAAGCATGTGGCCATAGAAGCTTCTGCCCTCTTCACGCAGAACTCCCAAACTGAGAGGCCCCCTGTCCTGTGTGGCTACTCCTGGTCCCCTGTCTGGGCCTCTGTCCAGGTTCCTGCCCACTTTTTGCATCCAGCTCTCTTGCTTGTAGCCCCTAGATCTTGTTTGCCCTGTGTCCTGTGCCTCTCAGATTCCAGTCAAACAGACCTGCCCTCTTGGCTGTGTGACCCTGGGTAAGTGCCTTTACCTCTCAGAGCTTCCATGTTCTCAGCAGTATCATGGGAATGATATTTGCCCAGACTTGTGAGGATTCTGAGAGCCCTCACCTGCACAGCATCTAGCCACACCTGGCATGTAGCCAGTGCTCAGAGACACCGGCTGCTCTTGCTAAGGCTGCCTGCTGAGTTATTCATACCAATGTGTTTTGGGTGCTGGTCTCTGTCCATCTGTCTGTAGGTGGGGTTGTATGCGGGCAGTCTCTGAGGCAAGTGGCACCATCATCCCTAGGCACTCCCAGGTGTTGATATAGGGCCATATCCGGTGCTAGGCAATGCTGGGGACACCCAGGGGAGCCAGGCCCCCTCTTGCCCTCAAGTAGCTCACCATCTGGCAGGCAGGTGGCAGACCAACCCTAGGACACAACAAACCATTATATATCCTGGCTGGGAGGGGCCAGGCCCGAACCCTAGCCTGCTTTTCTGTGAACATCAGACTCCACCTCTTCTGTGCAGCAGCTATAAGGAACAAGGCTTGGGAGTCAGACACACAGGTTTCCGATCCGTGCTCCTCTTCCTGAGCCTGGTAACTGGGCCAACTGCCTCTCTCTGTTCCTCCTCAGAGTGCTCATCTGTGAAGTGGGAAGATGAAGTCTTCTAAATATTCCTAGCCTCAAGGTACTGACAGAATAAATACAGCTTCCAGCACCACTGGACTCTCTGCCTGGGAGATGTTGTCTATTTGGGAAAGGGGTCCGCTCCCCTTTGTCAGGGATATGGGGGTTTGGGGGCCTGGGAGGTGGGGCGAGGAGAGCTAGAGGAAGGCAGGCCAGGGTTGTGCAGCCTGTGGGCAGTATGCCGAAGGTGACAGGGCAGAGAGACATGAGTGGGCCCTGCTGGAGAGAAGCCCCAACGTGGGGGCACTGCCTCTGGGGAAGACCCCAGCCCTAAGCAGTGTCTGACTCTGGGCCCCTCTGAGACCTGGGGATTCCCTGCCCGCCCCGCCATCACTTACACCAATATTGACGGTTAATGCCGTGTTGCCACCGTGTTCAACACTCAGCGCGGCTAATTGTTTTGACTGGGAATCGGCAAGGCGATTAAACGCCATCGATTTTGCCCTGCGCGCTGCATCGATTTTTAAATTTCCTATTGATCCTGGCCCTAAATCTCCTTAACCAAGACCTCACCGTGGAGATGACAGCCACTGATTAGCTCTGGGGCGGGGGTGGGGGGAGCAGCCCCTGAGGGGGAGCAACCCCAGCTCCTCCCTCGCCCCAGGGACTGGGGTCCTGATCCCCTTCTGTCCTTGAGAATGGAGGCCCATTTAGAGGCCTGTGGAGAGAAAGGGAAATGAGGAAGATTTGGGGGCCCCTGATTGGGTTTACTCCCCTTTTCTCTCCAATTTGGACTTTTCTCTTTGGCTATTCACTCTTCCTCTCTGTGTCTCCCCATCTCTTTTCTCTCATCTTCCCTCCATCTAAGTCCGTCTTGTTCTCTTTCTCTTGTCTCCTCCTGAACTTTGATAACTCTCTGAATTCTGTGTGTCCTTGGCTGATCCTGAGCCTCAGTCTCCCCTTCTGTGCCTGCAGATCTGCCATGAGATAGAAAAGTCATTTATCAAACACTGAAGGCCATGGCCTGTCTCCCTCCCCTCTTAGGAGCATACTCTCGGGGACACACAGATGTCAGGCAGAGCTGGGCTTCCTGGCTTTGTGACACTGCCCACAGAGCTCTGCTACTCTGAGCCATTTCCACGTGTCAGTACCTGTCTGTTCTGGGAAGTCTCTCCCTATCCCACAGTCCTTGCCTGGCCCTTTCTCTGAATGCCCACAGCAAGCAGAGGCAAGAGTTGTCCTTATGTGGGTTCAAGCAGCTTTTTTGAGAAGAGAGGAGGTTCCCTGCCTCCTGAACTCTCCAGCCAGCTCTTTCCCTCGCTGAACTGTACTCAGTCCCAGGTGAGTCACATCTCCTGCAGCCTCATCTGCCACATCTGTAAAATAGGGACAATACCGTCTCTTACTCTGCCTTCTTGCAGGTTGTTAAGAAACATAGTGAAACCACTTTGGGGGTGGGTCATCACACCTCCTGTCTATCTCTCTGTCTTCTCCATCTCTACATAGCATAAAGAAGGACCTATCCAAAGACAAACTGCATCCTGTCCCTCTCCATCTCTGGTGAAACCTAACTGCTTAGACTAGGTTCTTGAGGCCCTACAGGGTGACGCTTCTGTGATCTCCAAAGTTTTATCCTTTCCTACTCTGTCACGAACCCTGGAAGGCAAAGGACTCACATACTCTTTCCTTCTACCTGGCTCTTTGCCTGACTAGAGTTTATTTGTCTTTGAGATTTGGCTTGGGTGTTTGCTTCCTCCATAAGTCTTCCCTAACATCCTCTAGGATTCCTGAAGCACTCTCTGTCTACCCCAGTGTGTTGGCATTACTCTGTATCCCCAACTTGCTTATGAGCCTGCCAGCAGACAGAGCAGAGGCCCTGTCTATGCCCCCTCAATATTTGTTAACTAACCAAAGGAAAAAAATGAATGGATAAATGCACAAGTCAGAAATATCATTAGGATTTTCATTTTCATCTCCCCACAGTACATAGGCACCTAATAACAAGAAACTCTTCAAATTTCTTTCTCACTATATCCTCCCAGCAGTCTTTTGAGATACACAGTTTTCTAATTAATTAACTCATTCGTTCATTCAGTCATCCATTATGTACTTAGAGAGTATCTCAAATTTACCAGGCCTTCTGCCACATGCTAAACTGCAAGACAGTCCCTGTCATTTAAGGAGCTTCCTGTCTGATAGGAAAAATATATATGCAACTAGGGCAGATACCAATATGCCCATTACGAGAATGTGGACACTGAGATTCAGGAGCCAGATATGACTACTGAAGGTAACAAGTGGACAGCAGGAACCTAGTTCCAGGTACCTGCCTTCACAGTTCACCAACTTACAACTCCTGGTGGAGAGACAGGAAGAAAATTCGTCTGCTGGAGGGGTGCATCATCCTATAGGAGGCTGAGACCAATTCCCTGGGATGTTGACTCCATTTTCTCTCTCTCTCTCCCCCCCCACCCCTCTCTTTCTCTCTCTAGGTTCTCTACTGGACCGGGTTGGTGGCCTGAATGTATTAGCTTTGCTGCGTCTACCTAAGAGGTAAGAGCCATGGCCTCAAAGTCTTGTGTATTGCTGTATTCAGGGATCCTGACCACTCACAGAAGCCTCTGCTTTCCAGTCCTGGTCACTGGCCTCCCCTGGGGGGTTGCTTTCCTTCCCTGTGCTATCCCCAAACCCCAGAGGTTAGAGTCTGACTGATTTGTTCTCTTTCTCCATATGTACTGTAGCTTTCTGACCAAATCAGTAGTTCTGGTGTTAGTAACCATGGGTGTTCCTTTAGATGAGTGTTAGGGCTCAGTGGGAGAGAGATGAAGTTAACAGTGGCTCAGATCATGGCTCTGGGGTCAGGTATGCCTAATTGCAAGGGACTTGGAAAAACTGATGCCTCCATTCTTCACCTATAAATGGGAAATAATAACAGACCCCACCTTAAGTGCTGTCCAGAGGACAAATGAGATAGAGGAAGGATGGACAGGTGGCTCTGTGATCCTGGGCATGGCTCAGTTTCCCCAGCTGCCAAAGGATGGGAAATCACAGTATCAACCACACAGAGGTGTTGTGAAGATGAAAGAAGTTCTCTGCAAATCATGTAGCCTTAGGAAGTAGGAGCTCAAGATACAACTGGAAGCACTACCCTGAGAAAATAATACTTTGTGAAGTCCCAGTGAGGTGGCCAAACCCAAGTTTTCCAGCCACTCAAATCTGTGGGAAGCAAGGGCTCTGGGCATTAACCCTAGTGTGGGTCCACTCGGCTTCTCATGGTCCTAGCAATGAGCATCAGGGCAGGGATGGGTCCACTGACTGTGCTTATGCACAAAGGTAGCCCTGACTTGCCAGATTTTCTAATTTTTCAAGAAAAGCCAGAAATCCCATTTTTATGTGAAATCTCCTAGTTCTTCTTCTCCATCCTTTTCCCCAGTACTGAGGATTGAACCCAGGGCATCTTGCATGTTAGATAAGCACTCTATCACTGAGTTGCACACCTAGCCTTTTTTATTTTGAGGTAGCATCTTGCTAAGTTGCCCAGACTGTCTTCAAACTTGCCATCCTCCTGCCTCAGCCTCCTGCATAACTAGTATGATAGATGAATGCCACCTCACCTAGCTAAAATTTCCCAACTTAAAAATGTTGGCAACTAATGCAAAGTTTCAAAAATCTCCCTATGGTCCCAAACATACTATAGATGTCTAGGTTTGCAGCATTCTAGGCCTCCCTGGAAAACACATACCTACCCAGTTCTGTTACCACTTAGGGATATTCATAGACCCCAAATCTCATTCACAGATCCCTCTTGTGTGAGGTATGGGTGTCTTATGTATAGAACATGTCCTTTCACTGGTGTGTCTTATTCAGGGAACCAGAGTTGTAGCTTTCCCAGGAATACTCCTGTCATTGAGGTTGAAAAGAAGGTCTAGGATCTTCCAGGTTGCAGAGTTAATTTGGGGGCTAGAGGTTGGCTTTGAGGCCTGCCTGAAAATTGGACTAAAGTAACAGAGGGCTAACAGCATTGGTAGGGGTTGCAGTAGGTCTATTATTTTACTTTTTGTCTTCAAATAGGTGTTCATTAAGTATCATGGTTTTATGGACATATGGACAGAGTTGGTAACATGTGACAGAGAGTTACATTCCAGTGAGGAAACATATTTATTAGGGGCCATCTATGTGCCAGGTCCTGTTATGGATATTTTGCTTTGAATTTATAGTGTGATCCTGTGAAGTTGGTGTTAGCCACCTGTTACAGGGGAAGAAAACTAAGGAACAAAAGGGGAAGGCCTGGTGACAGTCCTCAGCCCTGATTATTGCCTAATATCTCCCAACATGTCAGTGGTAGAGTCAGAATTTGAACTCAGATCTGCCTGAACTTAAAGTTTTCATTCTTCTATCTCACCAAAACCTACCATAGATTTTGGAGTCTCCACAGGGTTGCAGATCTTTGTGCTTTGGGAGTAAATTGGATTTGGGAGAACACCTTACGTCTGATTTAGCACCAACTCTGCTAAACCTAGCAATGAAGGTGTTGAATAAACCTGGAACTACTTGCAGGTTTTTCAGTAAAACTCGAGATAGTAACACACTAGAGAGGTGTTTTGCTGATAGAGTTTTTAAACTTGCCTTGGAGGCTGAGTGGTTCAAGTACAAATTCAACCCTCAGGGAGACATCTTTGAAGGATGTCACACACTTTTATGTATATAATTTTGTCACACAACTACAACAAACATTGCCCCTGTCTCCACTGTCTTTCCTTCACAGCCACACTTGGAAGGTAAGTAATTCCCCTAAACTGCTTGGAGGCTTCCCAGTGCTCTGTGGGGACTGAGCTCCAGGGTGCGCAGGACCCCCCTCCACCCAGCCTGGGCACAGGTGTGCCTCTGCTGCCTTGCTAGAGTGTGGCTCCCCCTCCTTCACTCTCCTGGCTCCTTCCTCCAGTTCTCTTCCCACCTGTGCCAGGGCTTCTCTCTGCTGTTGGCTGGGTTCAGTCTCTGCCTCCTTCAGTTCTCCATTTAAGGCTCCCCTACTTTAAGGAGCCTTCCCTGATCCCTGAGCAAGATTATACCCCTCTTCCCTGCTGAGCACTGTCACCAGGGCTGATTATATATTATGTGCTTAGTGTCTCTTCCATAAGCTTCATGGTGAGGGGAAGTTCTGTTTGTCTAACACATCGGCACTCAATCCCTGGCACAACATAAATGCTCAGTAAGTATTTGAATACATAAGTGAGCAAACAGACACATAAACCCTTATCCATTCATTTATTCTTACAGCCAACATTTTCTGGAATTTCTTGTGCACTAGGCCTTGAACTATTGTCTGAAGGAGAAGAAAAAAGGCATATCTTCTGAGGCCTCAGAGGGGCCCCCAGCTGATGAAGAGTCAGGCATAAACACTATTACCTCAACCAAGGGGCTACCAGGTGCTGGGTTAGGGAAGAAGGGAAGAGACTGGCCTGCTTAGGGGGCTTCCAGAAGAATTTTGGAGAAAGTGATAAGGAGAAGCTCCTGAGGGTTAGGAAAAGCCAAGGAATAAGTTACAGCTCTGGTAAGTGGGAAGGTGTGTCTAGCTGACTGGCTGTTATTCACTATTGGGGATGATGGATCCTAGCCTGGCCTCAGAGTCCCCATGGCCAGCTACAGTCATCTGGGCCTGATGTCCTCAGAGTGCCAGGGCAGGAGCAGGGCTGTGTTATCACCTTGTCTCTCCCTCCCTTTTGTCCCTTCAACCTTACACAAAAAGTTATGTGAAACTGGTCCCAGGGTTGCAGAGATGATTCAGATGTACTCACCAGGGGTGTGCCCCAGGGAACCCACACTAACCACAGAGTCCTAAAGGCCTTGGAAGCAGGCATTTAGCTGTGAGTGAAAGACTTTCATCACTGTTCCTGGTGAGGTGACTTGAAGAGAACTGCATGAAGAGGGTGTTGAGCCACAAGGTAGAGATGTTCTCTCCAGGTGAAGGTGTAGGGGTGGTGGTGGGTGCAGAAAAGATCCAGAAATGATAGGTGGTCAGGGATGTATCCAGATCCTCAGGCCCAGTTTCTTTCTGTATTGAAACTGGGGTGCTTTGGCTTTAGGAGTAGGGCATTTACTGTTACAGATGGGGTTTGGGGGTGCTAGAACACAGCTTTAGTCAGGGCAGGCAGCTTTCTTGGTGTTAGTGACTTTGGGTGAGACCCACGGGATACTCCATAGGTGGCAGCTGTGTGAACCAGGTTGTGGGCAGGGGCTGTTGGCATTGATGTTCTTCACTGGATTTATAGTCCAGATGCCAAGGACTGTCTCCCAATGTGGGGTGTGGGGAGATTGCTTGATCCCTGTGGCTGAGTTTTGTCACTGGGTGGGGTAGGTAGAGACAGCTATAGACAGAGTGTCTGTTGGCTGTGGGATGGGATATACAGATGTGGATGAGGTAAAAATGGCTCACATCTCTTAGCAGGTTTGAAACAACGGGTCCCTGAAATGCCTGACAGTCCCACAGCAACTGAAGGCCGAGTGATCACCATTCTGGCAAGCATGGAACCCCAGGGGCTGAGGGCAGGCACTGGGCTCTGACTTCAGATAGAGGGAGGTGCTCCTCAGGGGTCTGTGTGAGAGCTGGCAAACAGAGGGCAGGCCTTAGGGTCCAACCCTAGAAGTTTTTAGCAAGGTTTGTTGGGAATCATGGTGAGTGTCCCATGCCCACCCAGACTGTCTGGCTCGAAATTCCCGGCAGGTCTCTGCTCCTGGTCTTCCTTCCTTTTCCAGGTGTGGTTCCACCCTGTCCTCTTCTTTCTCATTTTCTTAGTCTTCGTCTGTATTTGGCCTCTCCATTCCTTACTGGTCACCTCTTTTCCTCTGTGTCAGGGTTTCTGAGTCTCGCATGTGGGGAGTATTCTTACTTCTGTCTCCAGAGAGGGCCACGAGGGGATGTGGAGCCTGCTGGGGGTGAGGAGGGGGCAAGGACAGGGAGAAGAAAATAAGGTCCTGAAGGAAAAGCAGGAACAGAGCTGTGTCCCTGCCTCTGTCACCTCAGGACTGCTTCCAGGACTCCCACACTGCCATTGCCTGGGCTCCCCGGGGAGCCAGAGGGAGCCAAGAAAGGGGGTCCAGAAATATGCCTGAGGGTGTGGGTGAGAGACTCAACTCGGAGCACACCCTGGGAGAGAGACATGTAGAGAGAGAAGGGGCAAGGAGAAGCGCCGACAGAGAAACGAGATGGGAGATGTCAGAAAGCAGAGAAAGGTCGGGACAGTGAGGAAGAAACCGAGAGGGAGGGGAGGGAGGGCACGGGACGGTGAGCATGTCCGAGGTGAGAGATGAAGGCCACTGGGTTGGGGGCTTGAGAAAGAATGGAAGGACGAGGCTGAGGGCAGCCCCGGAAAATGGGCTGTGGGCAGGAAGGAAGTGCCCCATGTCCGGGTTCCTGTGCCCTCCTCGGGCCCACTGTGACTGCCAGACTATGGAAACTGATCCGAGGCTCCCAGTGCCTGTGTCCCTGTGTGTGGAGGGTGAGGGTGAGGTGCGGGGTGGGGAATCCCTGCTCCCAACTGCCCTGTGGCTGTGAGCCCAGCCCATGGGACCATCTGCTCATCTTTTCCACCCTGCTTCTGGCTCCGAGGGGCCCAGCGGACTGCCAGAGAGCTCTGGCATCCCCGACTTCTGACCTGGAGGCTGGGGAGACAGCTGATTTGTGTGTGTGTGTGCGTGTGTGCATGTGTGTGTGCATGTGTGTGTGTGTGTGTGAGAGAGAGAGAGACAGAGACAGAGACAGAGACAGAGACGGGGTGGGGGAGAGAATCACTTTGGACTTGGCCTCTCTTCAGCTTGCTGTCTTGAGTTCCTAGTGCATCACCAATTGCCCTCCATCTCTGTCTGCGGGTCTCCCTCAGTCTCCATCCCTGGCTCCCCGGGCTCCTGCCTGTTTCCTTCTCTCACTAGTCTTTCCGTCCCTCTCTGTACCGTGTGGAGTTCTCCCCACCCAGCCCGGCACCTCTGTCCTCTAGTTCTCTGTCTCTGGCTCCCATTCTCTCTTGATCCGTGTCCTCTGCGGCTCCTCCTCTCTGGTTTCACTCTGTGTGTCCCGTCTCCCTGTCTCTCTGCATCCCTCTGGTCTCTTTTTCTGTGTGTCTCTAGCATCTTCTTTCCACCTGCCCTTCCTCCCCTTCCTCCCTCCGCCTTTGCCTCCTGGTTTCTGTGTCTGTATCCCTTCTGGTCTCTTTCATCTTCTGACTCTGCTTCTCCCTCTGCGTCTCTCTCTGTGTCTCTCTCTGTGTCCCTGTCTCTCTGTCCATCTCTGCTCCATCCTTGTCTCTCTGGGTCTCTGGCTGTCCATCCCTGCCTGTGTGTGTCTCTCTCTTGCTTTCCCTCCCCCCTTTTCTGTTTCTAACACCCACACTCACATCCTACCTCAGGAGTAATTGCTTTTGTCTGGGTTGGACTGGACTTGTGGTGGGGGGAGGACGGGGGGAGCGGGTGGCGCTGGGGGGGTTGGGAGGGACGGAGGTCGCTTGGTGGAGCTGAGGTGGCATCCACCAAAGCAGCGGGTGTTGAAGAGCAGAGGTACTGCCTGCCCAAGGTGGGAGAAAGGAGGGGGCCAGTGCCCACCCTGGCAGGGGTCTGGGGCCTCTGGCAGGAAAGGGAAAGAAGGCAGGCAGGCCCTCACACTGGTATTTGGAGATGATGAATTGATGAAAAGGCCAAGCTAGTCTCAGTGGCAGACTCTGCCACCTTGCCCCCTCCCCAATCAGAGACTCAGGGGTGTAGCCTCTCCACACCACATACACCATCATGTGCACAAGTCACCATGACACACACAGGGACACACCCAGAGCCTCCATTCCACTCATGGAAATGCATTCAGCCATCAACACACAAGGATACCTGGAGCACGTAGACACAGAGAAACCACATGGAAACTCCTACACTTATAAAGAGAAAGAGCTTCTCACGCACACAGAGACAACCACACAGAGCCCTGAAGTGCACATTCAGCCACCCACAACACAGGCACCAGGACACAGGGAGAGTCGCTCACGGAAATACCCGTGCTCAGACATGCTCCACTGGGGCATGTACATGCCACCACACGCAGAGAGCACACAGGAGCATGCAACCTTCACATTTCCTGGGGACAGAGAGTATCCCCTGAAATGTTCTTGGGATACATTCACACTTCCCCAAGAGACATTCGAGGACACTCAGGGTCAGGTAGACACCCATGGAAATATACATACAACCCCAGAGTCCCTGGGACACACCCACAGACTCGTGGTCAACAGACATGACTCAGGAGCCAAGACACTAAGGACACACAGACCCTGAGTGCCCGGCAGAGCTTACGGACCCGCATATACCCCGTACGGATAGCAACTTGGACACCACAGCCCTCCCTCTGGAACCTCCTGTTTGACACCTCACAAGCCCCCCATTCCTACACACACCCAAGCCAGGCCCTGGGGTGAGGATAAGGCAGCTTCCACCCACAGAGATCCACAGCATGGGGCAGCCTTGGCCCTGTGGGTGGGTGGCAGGCTTGCCTGAGGTGCCCCTTTTTCACATCCATTCACCCTAGCTTATTCCAGCACCCCAGGCCCTCCCTTCCTGGTGGACTCAGGACAGTGTCTCCCAGTGCCCCTAGGGGCCCCTGCCCACCTCCCAGAGCTTTATCCTTCACAAACCTTCAAAGGGCCCCATCTCCTTGAGCCGCTCCCAACTGAGGGGATGCCTGCTCTCTCTTGGGGGACTGTCTCTCAATTTATCCCAGTCCCCTTACCTGTGAGTGTGACCACCATTCCCGTCTGCTTCCCTGCCCACTCCCATACTCACCCCCTTTCCTGGCTGTCCAAGCTCTCAGCCTCCCTAAGCTCTCCCGCTGTAGGGGAGTGGTGGTGGGGGCCCTGGCCCCTCAGAAGCTGGGGTAAGGGGTGCATGGGGGTGGGGGGCCTGGGTGCGGCTGGCTCCGGGAAGGGAAGCAAGGCAAGCAAAGGAGAGAGAGAGAGAGAGAGAGAGAGAGAGAGAGAGAGAGAGAGGCAGAGGCAGGCAGGCAGCCAGCCGGCTTTATATCCCTGCCGTATTGATCTACCATGTCACAGCCCCGGTCGATAGCCAGCCGAGAAAGAGAGGGAGAGAAGGGAGGGGAGGTTTGGGGGAGGGCAGCCGGGACCCCTATAGTCCTTGGCCCATCTGGGGCCTCCTGGACAGGCTGTGGGGGCATGTTTGAGCCTGGCCCACTTCCCCAAAAGAGGTCTGCCCTGCCATCTCCCTCCTCCCCTTGGCTGCGGCCCTCTCTCTGAGAGTCATCTCAGCCTTGGTAGGAGAGAAGATCTGCTCATCTCTTTCTGTCTCTCTGGCAGCTCTTTACCCCTGCTCAGAGCTGTTTGCCACCTTAGTACCCCTTTGCCCTCCATAGTCAGGAAGGGCATGTGTGAGGCCCCAAGACAGTGTCCTGTTTATTTGGGGGTGGACAGGACTGTAGATCCTCTTCCTTTGCTATGTGAGCATGAGCAAAAAGAGACCTCTCTGAAGGCCCTCTTCCTTGCACTCAGGGGCTCCTGTCTGCATGGTTTTGTTCCTTGCATCTGCTTCTCACCATAACTGTGCCAGGCCAGTGCCAGCCCAGATCACACGGAGGATTTCTTCTGGTTCTTTTCCCTCCCTGCTGGCCTAAGCTGGAAGAGACTCAGCCTCTCTTTTCTCCACAGAAACTTCTACCACCTGCCCCATCCATCTAAGTCATCCCTGACCTGAGAGGGGAAGGGCAGGGAAGGAATAGGTCTCCCTGGGTAGGAAGGGGTGGTAGGGGAAACAGGGACAGCACCGAGAACCCTGGGGCTGTGCCTCTATCCTGGATCCTATCCGTTGCTCTGTCTCCCCTTGCTGGGCCTCAGTTTCCCTCCTTCCCGCATGCAACCCTGCTCCAGCTGGAAGGTTCTGTCATGGCTCTGGGATTCATAGAGATTGCTGCAGATGGGAGACAAGGCCATCAGGAGGGTGAGACCAGGGCCAGGAGGGTCCTGGTCTCAGCCCCTCCCTCAGTCAGAACTGCTTGGGTCCCAGGTGTTTCCCCCAGCCCCCAACTCCCCGGGGCTCCAGTTCTTTGTCTGCCCAGATCCTCCTCCCCTCCAAGCCCAGCCTGGAGAGGTTGAGGAATCACCTTAGCCTTGACCCGAGGGGGCGGGCCGAGGAGGGGCCAGCAGCCCCCACCCCGCCTCCTGCCCATGGCCATCTACAGTTCCTCTCCTGCTTCCCTGAGTACCAGGCACCCCCCACTCCAGCATCAGGCCGCTGCTCCCTTTGTTAGGAAGGGGGAGGGGAAAGAGACGAGCTGAGGGGACGTGGCCTGACCCCCGACCTCTCCCCCTCCCTCCTCCCATCTGGGTCCCCAGGGGCTCAGAGCCCCCTTGACGGACAGTTCTGACCATCAGCCAAATGGCTCAGGGAGTGAGCAGGGGGCCAGGTAGGGGGGAGGGGAGGAAGGTCTGGCCAGGGTTCTGCGCCCACTACGGGTGTGGGGGTGCTCCCTGGGTGAAGGGAGGCTCTTAGGAGGGGTTACAGGAGAAACTAGCCATGGAAGGGGCCAGGCTGTGTGGGGGAACCTGATCAAACTTGGGGGTATGGAGACAAAGTGGGGCTCATCCTAGAACCAGCAGCACTGGAAGCCCTGTGGGTAGGGCCTGGCTTGGACAGACGCCCCCACCCCACCCCCACCTGGCCTGCAGCACTGGGAGTGCAGTGAGTTTTTAAAAAAATTAAAAGAAAGGAGAAAAAAAACAGGAGCAGGAGAAGCTGGGGGAAAAAATATATAAGAAAAAATATAATAAGAACTAAGCGGTGGCTGCAGGAGAGAGAAAGGGCAGGAGGCGGGGAGGGGGGCGCAGGGGGGAGGGCGGCTCGGGCCCTGGTCGCTGCGGAGGCCGGGCCGCCGGCCTCTGCGCTGAGCCCTCCGCGTCCCCCCTGCCGGCCCCCTCCAGCCCCGATCGATCCAGTTTCTTGGCAATAAAGCATTTTTATTGTCAGCTGCCCTGAATGCCAAATGTGAGCCTGGTCCTGCTTCCCCCCAACCTGCTTCCTCACCACCCCTCCCCCAGCCCTCCTCCACCCCCTGGCCTGCCATCGCCCCACCAAAGAATCAGCATCGTCCATCACCAAGACCCCCTCCTCTTCCTCCTCATCCATGTCAGCTGCAGTCCCTGCACATCCTCAATAACCCACCAGCTCTCCACCCCCACCTAGGCTGCTGTGTTCCCCTCCCTAACCCCAGGCCCATAGGGGAGCAGAAAGGTGGGCTCTGGATGAATGGTCTTGTGGGGCACAGGGATGGGCAGGAGGAGGAAGAACAGGAGGGTGTTGGAGTGGGCAGCAGGAGATGGCCACAGGTTGAGGGAGGTGTTGGCTAAAATCAGAGGAGCAGTAGCTTGCCCTACAGCTGCAGCCAACAGGGGCCACCAACAAGAACAGATGGGGTGTCCCCAGCACACCACGGTGAGGGGGAGGCAGACCCAGCCTTGGCTCTGTTGCAGCCCTTGGGACCCCCTGTACCCCTTCTATTCTGAAGGCTGCCTCTTTTTCTGGGAGGCAGCTGAGTGAAGGCGGAAAGACAGGGGCGGCAGTTGGACACCTCTCCATAGATCAGTCTCATCTCTGCCCAGGACCAGGGAGGGACACACCACACACCCGGAGGACTGCTGCTGTGAGGGGCTGAGAAGAGGGTGTTGGGGAAGTAATTTGCAGAAGGCCCAGTGGCCCCACCACAGCTTGCTTTTCTCCCTTCCCTTCTTTCTTTTCTCTTTTTCTCTTTCTCTCTTTCTGCGTTCTCTGTCTCTTCCTCGCTTTCTCTGTATGTTTCCGTCTCTCTGTTTGACTCTGATTCTTTCCTTTATTGCTGCCTCTCCCTCCAGGGATTTAAAAACCTCCACATACTTCTCTGTTCTACCTTTCAAGGCCCGGGTTATTCCCTCCCTTCACTCCTCTTTTCTCTGCTCTGTTTTCTCTTCTCTTTCCCTCTACCCTTGCCCCCCTCCATCTCTCATCTCTTCCTACATCTCTCCTGGTTCAGCCCCCCCTCCCACTACTGTTAAAATAAACAGAGCCCCTGAAACATCAACGGGAGCAGAGAGAAAGGGTCTCTGCCCCTCTGCTCTCTCTCGCTCATAGTATCAGTGACTGTTGGAGTGAGAGCTCATCTACACCTGCAGACGTGGAGCTAGAGTCCTGAGGGCTGGGCCCTCTGTCTGCCTCACACTTCCTGTGTGGCTTTGCTCAAGTCACTTGCTTGTCCTGAGCCTGGTTTTCCCCTGAAAAATAAGCAGTTCAGATGGTGTTTGTGGCATCTCCTATGACTTGAAAGCCCAGGGTTCTTTTAGTTTCTGCAAAAGGACTGGGGCTTCTCTCGCAGGATTCCCCACTCTGGTGAATGTGGTCATCCCATTGTCATACTAGGGGCCCCCATGATACTATCTCAATGATGCAGGACTGGGCTGTCACTATCTCTTGGTGGCTTGGGAAGATGAATCTGTAGAAATAGGAAGGCCTGCTGGGCATGATGGTGCACACCTATGATCCCAGTCCCATGGGAAGCTGAGGCAGGAGGATTGCAAATTAGAGGTAGCCTTCAGCATCTTAGTGGGACTCTGTCTCAAAATAAAAAATAAAAAGAGCTCAGTGGTTGGGCTGGGGCTGCGGCTCAGTGGTAGAGCACTTACCTAGCATGTGTGAGGCCCTGGGTTCAATCCTTAGCACCACATATAAATAAATAAAGTTCCATTGACAACTAAAAAAATAATTAAAAAAGAGTTCAGCGGTTAAGCACCCTTGGGTTCAATCCTCAGTCTCTCTCTCTCTCTCTCTCTCTCTCTCTCTCACACACACACACACACACACACACACACACACAAAGAAAGAAAGAAAGAAAGAAAGGAGAGAAAGCAAGCTCTGGTATGCCAAGGTTTTTCTGCTCAGTCTGGGCTTAGGAGTGACATGACTGGGGTCATGCTTTAAGGAGTAGTGTGAAAGATAGATTCAAGATCCCAGGCCCCACCTCCATTATCAGATTTCTGGGTTAAGAGTTTTGTATGTGACAGGGGTCTGTTGATATGACTGACACTGAACTGATCCCTAGTTCAGTATCTGTCACATGGACAGGGTTCAAGGGATATGTCTGGAGCAAATGATGGAGTGAAGAGCTTATGCCGTAGGATAGGCCAGGGGGTGGAGAGACAGAGAGAAGGGTGGCCTCAGAAAGAGCAGGGACAGAGCAGAGGAAAGAGCAAGGGATTCAGAATCTCTGGGGTGAATTGAGAGGCCAACAAATGGGGGTCACTTGACAGGAAAATAATTCTGAGGTGACCCTAGATCTCCTTTCTAAGCTGCCGTCTTCACCCAAGACTCAGTGACCCAACCGGTCACTCCACTGCACATCCACAGATCTTTCCACTAAGTCAGTGTCCATGTCCTGCTGTCTTGGTCTACAGATCCCTGGTTATGAAGGGAGTAAGAAGCTCTGTGTCACACAGGTCCCACTGACTTGAGGGATGAAGCCCTTTAGGTTAAAAAGATTGTGTGTTGACACTCATGCCTGGCTACATGTCACATGCTTGCTTATACCTCAGCTAGTTGTAAGTGTTTGAACTACCCTCAGATAACAGCTTTCCAGCTGGTAAAAAGCCTTCCTAAGAAAAGAGAGCCTTCCTTCAGGCTGGTTGGTGGGGAAGGCCAGGGCATGAGCTAGAGGACCAGGGCTGGGCGACAAGATTGGCAGGAATGGCTTAGGAGTGTGGGATTCTAGTGGGGTTGAGAAACCTGGAATGAAGGGAGGGCTCTGGGTCAGAAGATGATTTGATGGGCAGGAAATAGGGGATGCTTCTGCAGCAATGATCTCACTACCTCTGTGGCTTCCTGAGGATCATACACTTGGTCAGGAGCTATTCCTTGAAGTTCAGGACTCATCAATACTTCCCACTTCCTGCCTTGGCAGCTAGGTGCAGATTTGGGAGTCCTTTCTCATCTGGCTCTAGATGTCCCCTCTGTTGCATGGCCCTCTCTGAGTGTTCCTCTCTCCACTGGCCTCTCATCATTTTTTGCTCACACTGTTCCCTCAAGTAGAAGAGTAACAATCCTAATAGCTGCTCATGGACAGCTTTTTGTGACCTGGGTAGTCTTGCTGACTCTGACACGCTAGGTGCAGGCATTGTCATTAATCCTGCTTTTAAGATGGGGCCACTGAGGCTGAGAGAAGGCAAGTGGCTTGCTCATGGTCACCAAGTGGTTAGTGCCAGAGTCAGGACTGCCATTTAGACACAATGGTTCTGGCTGACTTTCATTGATTCAACCCAGAAATGTTTTATGAGAGCCCCCAGCTAAGGAGGTGCTTA